CGCCTTGAGTTTGTCAGTGTCCATGTTGAGCAGCTGTGTACCGTCCACTCCTCTGGTGGCGAACTCAGACATGTACTGTTCCATGTTCAGGGCTGTTAACCACAGACAGACCTGCTGACTGTCCCACTCCAACACCGGTCGACTCTGCCACAGGTTGTTGTTATTGCTGGGAACCGGGTCGTCGTCCAGCGTCTGATGGGACATCAGTGCCAGTGGGGGGAAAAAGTCAAAAAGGACGAATTGAAAAAGAACAGAGACGGGGAAGAAAACAAGAGAGGATGACAGGAAATGAAGAAGGAAAGTGTGGTATAGTCTCACCTCAGTGGAGGAAAAGGTGAAAGTGTGAGAGTGTCCAGAGAGGGAGTGATCAGAGGAGTATCCCACCCTGCTGCAGCTGCCCACTGAGGAGCCCACACTCTGGAACCAAGAACACAAATCTGGGCTGCCTACAGTACATATCCACTACAGTGTCTCCCTTTACTGTGTTCTTATCTGAGGAGTTTTAATACGTGGAAAGTCAGATCGAGGAGGAAACATGTGTAAGTCGTCATGGAGCCTGGTTCTCCATGCCGTAGACAGCCCGTCCTGATCATTTCCCTTTTTTGGAGCCTGGTTCTTCATGCCGTAGACAGCCCGTCCTGATCATCTTACCTGGTCTCTTCTGCCTGTGGTGGTCATGTAGGGCAAACTGCTGCTGGACACCGACCGGAGAAATATCCTGCCTCTCTCTTTGCCCTCCTCTTCCTTCTCCCTGCCTTTCTCTCCAAACCAGGGAAAGGGCAGGCAGGAGGGCATGGAGGTGACCGAGTCTGACGGCGACACTCCAGTGTTGTCAGCCTGCAGGTCCCCACACGACCCACGGCTTTGATAAAAAACAAAAAAAAAAAACGTTATATGTCAACAGTTAGTTGATCCATAATTAGTTAATAAAATGAATAAGGTGTTACAAACCTGTTAAACGACCTCCTGCTGTGTTTCTCACTTTTCCGTTTGCTGAGAGACTTCCGAAAGACCACTGGAGAAAAAAAAAAAAAATAAATAAAGACACTAAATTTTCTATGTCAAAATTATTTTGTAGCAATGCTGTTTTTGTATATTTAACCAGCGTTACAACCTTAAAATGGAGAATGTGATGAATGCACTGTAATTCCAAATGTCCTCACCTGAAGTCTGGGAACCTTTTTTTGGACTTCCTGGACGATGAGGATTTGCTTGGAGATAGTGTCACATCGGTGATATAAATGGGAGGAGTGAAGACCAAGCTTGGGGGAGGGAGAGAACTGAGGGCAGAGCAGGAGGAGGTACTGGACAAGTCGCTCCTGCTGCTCCTCTGTACCAGTGTAGAAGCGGGCAGCGGCTGACTCTCCTGGTGTTTCTGCATCTCCTCCTAAAGACAACACAAAGAGTGAGACTTAACAGTTTAAAAAGCTAATCTGATGCCATGCCAAATCATTTACCTGTTTTCTAAAACTTTCTCGCAGTTTGTCTCGGGACGGTGGATGGCGCTTAGATTTTTGGGCCAGCTGAGCTCTGGCTTTGTGAGCACTGGAGTCCAAACGGTCCGTGTCTGGGACAGGGATGTGCCAGTCTGGACCTGAGACCAGAATATTTCAATATTAATATATTTGACTTTACTAATGAAAATAAAAACTTTATTTTAGTGTTTTGTCAGTAAACAAATGGCTAAAGGTCTGGCTGAAGTACAAACTCATGAGTGAAGACTTCACACAGTGGTTCTTCCTTTCCATTAAAGGCTCCTTCTTCTCCAGCTGTGCTATCTGCAAGAAAACAGTTAAAAAACAAAAAAACAAAAAACAGGACCGGTAAAGAGAAACGACAAGCTCAGTCAAGTGAATCCAATTAGGACTGAGGTCAACTCTAACCTGCAACCGCAGCCTTTCAACTGTGTCTCTGTGCTGCTTATCTCTCTCCTCCATCTCTCTCCTCAGGTCCGATTCTTTTTTCTCCCTCTCTTCCTCCCTGAAAAACATTTAAGGTACAAAAGCAGACAAATGTACATTGGTAGGTACAAGGTACAAAAGCAGACAAATGTACATTTTGTGCATTTGAGTTCACGTCATCTGTGAATTTAAACTTGGTAAATACCTGCTCTGGTATTCTCTGACCAGTCTCTTGGCTTTACTGTATTTAATCTCAAGGCTTTCAGACTGGCTCTGGGCATCGGCCAGTCGCTGGCTCACCACCCTGCACAGCGTCTGGGCCTCCTGCCAATACCTGTGAAAAAAAAAAAAAACACAACAGAACATTTCCCCTATGTTCCGGCCAAGGTTAAGCTTTAAGTCCCCGACATGCACAGTTATACGGTTTCAAAATCATAACCCATCAATATATTTACAGTAGGTGTTCGTGAGGAAACAATTGTACTTCTCTAGTTTTTCAGCTTTGTCCTCTGCGTCTTCTGCTCTCTGCACCAGCTCGGTCTTCTGATTCTCCCAAGTGGCCTGCTGCTCCTCACATGCCTTTAACTGGTGGAGGAAAAACAAAGAAAACAACATCAGTGGCTTCATCTGCTGTGGAAATGGGACAATTAATGTGAAAAACAAAAACCTTTCCTCCCGAGACTACTCTTAGACTACAGGAAACAAGTGACTATCACTTCAAGGCAAAGGCAGTGAAGAAGGGCTGACGCTGACAATCGTTGGAAGCGGCCTGTGTCCTACTAACTTCAGGCACAAATCTCATACAGGTTTAAATGGACTGTTCCAAATAGGGACAGGAGTGGCATGTGTGTATGTGAGTGTTTGAGATCTGAGTCTCGGTGAAGTGACCCACCTTATCTCTGGTGTGATGAAGCTGGGCTGTTTTATTTCGTAGTTTCAACTGTAGCTACAATAGTACAGACACAAAGGAAGTGACCGTCGATGAGTTTAGAGAAAGCAAAGGTAACAGATTAAAAATAAACACTGTCCAATTATTACAGATATTTACGATGATAAATGTTTACCTGCTCATACTTAAGGCAGAGTTCTTGATTGTCAAGACTTGAAAGTACTGACACATCATCCTCTTGGTCATCCTCCTCCTCTTCCTCTGTGACCGAGCCCCTTTCAGAGCCACTTCCATCATTCTCCTCATGTCTCTCTGCTGCGTCTCTCTTCATTCAAAAACACAAACACAGTATACAAGATGGGTAAACTGTTAACAACTTTGAAGATCTTCACCTGTCCAGGATGACCCACCTCCATGGAGGATTTCTCCATTTCCAGGCTTTCATTGATCAGTCGTGCCACCTCACTCTCCACCCCGTCTTTTTCACGACCAATGAGGAACCTGCATCCCAAAACTAGTTAATTAGCTGCAGTGAGCAATTAGACACTGTGTTGTCCACTGGCCCACAGGTCTAACCACAGGTGTTCCTGATGACACTGATTGTGTTTCAATGTTAGTGTAAATAGTTTGTCAAGCTGAAAGTACTGTACTATAATAATGGCTGGGAAAGACCAAAATTTGATGTAATTTCCTTACAATATTAAATTAAAATCTAAAAAATTAAATAACAACTAACTAAAAATATAAATGAGCCACACAATATTTTTTTTTATATATATTATAATGTTTAATTATTACTAAAAGCAAAACTGACACTAATTTGTTTAGAACCTGTTTCAGTTTAGAGCCTTCCACTTACTTGACCAGGCCTGATGTGTTCTTGAGCACAGTGGCTGCAAACAGCTGGGAGACTCCGACCAAACTCATTCCATCCACCTCCACTATCTGGTCGTTCACTTTTATCCTGACCCAAACACACATTTTAGAATAACACATCAGCATGTACCTCCCAGTGAAGCCAGTTTAAAACAACACACTCTGTTCTCACCTTCCATCCTTCTGCGTTGGCCCTCCTTCATTTACCATCTTGACAAAGATCCCCAGTTTCTCCAGTCCCTGGTCGGCTCCAACACCCATTCCAATGATGCTGATGCCCAGACCGTCTTTACCTGGAGAGAATAGATAGATTAGGAATCACTGCTCCAAACCTCACATCATAGCAGGTCTCACTACTGTCCTTTATAGAATTTTCCCTTTCAAAAGACACGTATGGATGGGTACAAACTTTTACACACCCTTTTCTATCTCCACTGGAAAGATGACCATCTTGTCCAGTCTCTTTTCCAGCTCGTATTCAGCAGAGGCTGAGACCGGGTCGATGTCCTCATTCTGTCTGTCGTACTCTGCATTGGAATAAGTGGTGTACACCTGCAGGACAGAAAGATATCTACAGCTGCATCATCTCTTGGCATTATTGCCAGCTCATTAATCTGGGCCCCCATAGTTGGTAGCATGTGTTCAAATCAGATGGTACAGAGAACCATCTGCAGCTATTGACACAACAAGACCATGTTTGTGTTGACAAATGTATCAGTGGGAGTAGGAGAGGATTGACAAATCTGGAGGTGCTAAAGATTAGGCAAATGGCACGATGTGAATTATTGGAATCACATCAGAAGATCTCAGCGTGTAAACAAACCCATGTGTCACTGACTGATTCTGCAGCAGTTGAACTCCTGACATGTGGCTCTTCAGTCCACAGGAATGTTTTGATAAACTATATTGAGGCAGCTTGGAACCGAGTGCTGACGGGGAGAAGCATGTGTGATCTTGTCTTTTCTCCTTACTCAATACATTAAAAAAAAACCTTGCTTAAAGCTATGACTCATCTTGTATGGATTTGTGAAGCAGAATGTGACAATTCACTTCAATTTGCTATTCTAAAATGAACATAAATGTTAATGCTAAGGCTTTTAAGACATATATGATGGAGCGCTGATATCAAAGTGCTAACATTCAAAATATCTCACCTTGATGGGTGCGTTAGAAAATGTGACCTTCCTCATTCCAGAGCCATCCTCATCATCCTGCACAGGAATACCAGGGATTTCTTCATAGTCCAGGCTTCCTGCTTTCACAGAGTCTGGTTTTGGTGGTGTTGAACTTTCTGCTGGACACTGATCCCACACTGAATCCTCCTTCTCTTTGTCAAAGATTTCTGCAGCTTCTGTCTTGTCCTTCGTGTCACATCCAGTGTCCTCTTTCCTATCACTACGTCCTTCATCATTCACCTTACCAATGCTTTTCCCCTCTCCTTCCATTAGGCCGCTCCCTTCGTTCCCTGCAGCATCGTCCACGTCCGTGTAAACATTGTCTGTTGACGTCTTCCAGGCTTGTGAAATGTACTCTACCTTCCTCTCCTCCCTTTCACCCTCCCATTGTTCAGCCACCTGCTCATACTTGTCTTCTCTGCTATCTCCGCCACCTTCTGTCTGCTCTTGACAAAGCACGCTGGTGGGTAACAGTCTCCAATGCTCTTCTGAGGCAGTGCTTTCCTCTGTTCTTTCCAGCATACAGTGTCCAGTTGCTGGTTCTAAATCTGAGTCTTCAAAGACATCGTCCACCAACATCTCCACACCCTCCTCCTGCTCGTCCATCTGGGATTTTGTGACTTTTTTCTGCTCAATTTCCTCTTCGTTCCCATCACTTTCTGATGACTCTGTGTTAACATGGACCAGTTCTGCTCTCACTGGCTCTGGAGTCAAGCAGAGGTCAAGATTGGTGCTTCCTGGCCCCCTCTCCTCCGCCTGATTTCCGCTGGTTTCACAATAATTGTCGAGATAGGATCGAGAAGAGTTGTCTGCTGGTGTTTCCCCATGGTCGTGCAATTCAGGGGAGCTACGGTGACTCTTCATTGTTGTGAATGCAGGAGGTTTAGTCAGGGAAAAATTTATAACTGGAAGGCTAATAGATTTCTCTTTATCAAAGCAATCCTGCTTTCTAGACACACCTGGCTCCTCTTCTTTTCGTTCCTCATTTTCTTCTTCTCCTACTTTTCCGTCGGTCCTGCCCTTACCTCCTCTGCCTGTTACAGGTTTGAAAAGACCTCCGATCTCCATCCCTTTGGCTTCAAACAACCTACGGGTAACTGAGAACTTCTGAGCCAGGGCAGCTCTGTCAATATTCATCATCTCATCTCCTTTGGTAGCTTTCTCCTGCACTGAGCATTCGGATGCAGAATTGTCAGCCACAGTGCTCAAAACGGATGAAGAAGAACTTAATATCAAACGTCTCGAACATGCAAACGGTGAAAAGTGCAGCTGTAGGCCAGGGTTTTGTGGAGAGAACGCTGGTGTGGAGCCAGTACTTAGCTGTGACCCACCGTCTTGCCTCAGATGATTGCTGTCCATTTTGAGGAAAATGTTGTCTCTGATCTTGGTCCCCCTGGTGCTGTGGAGCCTTCCTGTGCTCCCAGTGCTGGTGTGGCACATTATAGGATCTGACATGCTGGTTGGCCTATTTGTGCAGTGTGCATTGGGAGCAGCTGCAGCACCTTTAGTTTCTTGCTGTAGAATGGTACAGGCATTGAATGAACACTTGATGGAATGGAAGTCAGATTTGTAGGTTATCCTGTGGGGGGAGGCACTTCGGCCTTTGCTGTCTGTTCTCATCATTGGAGAAAGAAGGCGCTCTGGAGTTTGAAAACAAACTAAACGTACTAATGCTTCTCACAGGTGATTAGAGCACTTAGGAAAAGTTGAGCAGGTAGATGTTGTTGAGAGGGTTTGCTGGTTAAATGATAATTGAGATGCTGGATGATTTAGGATTTCAATGCATAAAGACAGGCTCTTGTTCTCATAACATCACGGTCTCATTTCACAGATTAAAGCACCTGAAACACAATTAAACAATGCTTAATCACTGTCACACTTTCCACAGGTGTTTAGCATTGCCAACACAAACAATCAATCACATTGTGGCCTCACTTCAACCCAAAGCTACAAACACTGTTCAAAGTTGGGTTAGAGTTACAGCTTTGTGACTGATTTCTCATACTTACAATGACAAATGGGAAATCTGAGCTTCAGAAACTGCTAACGACCTTTACATCAGTCACTCTCCATAGGTACACGTGAATCTCCACAGGTACACGTGATGCGCTGCATTTAAGTGTTGTCGGGAAAATCGAGCTACATATATAGCGCTCTGTCTTTATAGTTTATGGTATACGTCATTTATGCGTAACAATTTACTTTTGAGAGCAAATTCAAGATCGTATATTACATATTTTTTCCGAACATTTCTGTTTCAAATAATTCACTATTTTATTTGGAATGTGATTATTTAAGTATGTCATCATTTTATAATACTGGCTTTTTTTTTTTACTCTATCAAAGATACTAACACCAGATGGTCAGATTTTCTCCATGTTTGACAAAACAAGTGTATTGTGACATAACAGTTTTGGATAGTAAAACGCATAGAGAAGAAAATAACGGGTCTTGTCTGGTCACAGTCAGCGGTGACGGTTTACGGTGATAATTGCAGACAGGTGGCTGCTCATGACTGTTTATACTCTAAACGGATTATCTCCGTGTAATCCTGTTTAAACGACAACAGCGACTAGAGCACGGACAGTAAGTCGGTTGGGTAAACCCCTATGCATATTATAATAAGTTTAATTGTTGCAGAGAGTGTTCATTTTAGCAATGAATGTATTCTTAATGAGCAATTTTAGTAGCGGTGGTCGAGGAAGCCCTAGTTACGTCATTAACAAACGATAGAAATATTAAATATTAATATATATATATTAATATATATTATAATATTAAATATTATAATATAATATATATATAAGTTATAATATATATAACTTTTCCCATTTAAATTGTATCATTAAAGAGCATCTAAATACTTTTAACAGTTAATTAATGTCAGTATAAATGCAGTCCATTATGGTTTCTATACCAGTTCATTTAATTATTTCACTGAATTGAAAACCATGACCCCGGGGGAGGGGAGCTCTCCAATAGAGTTAGTCCATTAGAGTTACTGTAAATACACCATTTAAATTGCAAAAATTAGACGATGTGAAGTATCATATTAAAATTTAAATTTAAAGAATAATCTTAATAAAACTACTTGTTAGAAAATTAGAAAAACCCTGGGTTCCACACCAATGACTGAGACATTGCCTCTGGGCCAAAGCGCCACTCATTATATAATAAAAATATACTTTTAAATTTGCAATGATTATTCTTTTAAATGTATTGTGTGACTCTTGTGTAATTTGGTGGCAGAAATATTAGGACATAGAATCATTGTATGCAAAGCTGTTTTTAATTCAGTCTTTTTTGTGAACGACTGGTCAAAATGCTATGGATTTCACAATACTTTAAATGCAATTAATTAATACTAAAGATGCAATGGTAACAAATACCCTTTAACTATAAGTTTAAAAGAAAAAAATCTCACCTCTCTATAGTTATAGTTATAGTTATTGAAATTAGCTGAAGCTAGTAGTACGGAAATCTACATTTATTCCTGTCCTATACATAAATCAGATTAAAAACATAAGAACAAAATGTCCATCTGGATGAACAATGCAAAAAAAAAAATCTAATACAAAGTGATGAGCTCAGTCAAGGATACAGACAGTTTGTTTGACATGCAAATAATTACTTACTCTTACCTTTGCTTGTTCCAGCATCACTGCCTGCTCTACCATCTGCTGTAAACCCTTCTCATCCCTGTGACAGAGGCTCTCCAGGCTCAGAGGTAAAAATCTGTGTGTTGTTTAGCGGTGTACATACACCTAGTCAGAGCAGACAGCCTGATCCTGCTCTACCTAAATGTTTTTGTCTGATGGAACCAAAGCAGTGATGCAGCAGTGGCTGATGTGTGTGTGTGTACGCAAATGTGTGCGTACCTGTGTTAGTGTGTGAGATGCCAGTGCACGAGTCGGTGCAGTCCCTGTGTCTGTCTCTGAGGCTGGCTTCTGTGGCAGATGGACTGGACTGGACTGGACTGGACTGATCTGTGCAGAGCCAAAGAACGGTTCTGCTTGCTGTGACCTGGATTCATTTGGAGTCCTGCCGTCCCAGGTGGCACTGGGACCTAGTTGATATAAATACTAGCCAATCACACAAACCTTCATCTGAATCAGGCTAACTGTTAGAGGCGAGAAAGAAAGGGAAGGGAAGGGGAGAGGAAGGTAAGGGGAGTGAAGTTTAAGTGGAGTTTGTAAATGAGGGAATGATGTCATTGTGGATGGTGGAACACGTTAACTGAGGTACAGACTGAAAGATAATGAGGAGTGAATGTAGACACAGACATGGAGCGAGAAATTAACCTAGATTTGATGAAGCACTGGATAATTGGAAGTTGAAGGAGTAAATTTTACATGAATTTCAACACTTTTATATGAATGGGGAAGTGACTGTCATAAATGGTAAACTTAAGTAAGATGAATAAGTCCTGCAAAATGATGTTAAATGTGTGGAAACAGAGGGAGATTAAATTGTGTTGTTGAGGGCAGGCCATCTCCACTCCTTTGAAAGTTTGTTTTTCTCTATTATTAGTCATACTGTGCTGTTGTCAACTTAGTTGCAGTGATACTGGTAACAAATCTAATTAAATCATTTTTCCTCACTGTGGTGTAGTCATCTGAATGATGGATTGTTTTTTTCAGTTCATCATTTATGGCAAGTATCTGAAGGATATACAGTAGGTCATTTAAAAACCATTGTCACACCATTGACACCGCGGCAACTGCACAATTTGTCCACTAGAGGGCAATGATACTCTTACTTCCTGATAATATTTAAACCTCCGGATTAAACGCTTGTATTTTATTTTTCATGTTTTTTTAAACATATTTTATGTTATTAGACACTAACCCAACATGTATTTTACTCTCTATTTTGTGTCAATATTGATGTTTTTTAAATCATTTTTAATACTGTAGTAATTAATTTCATTTGTGGTTTTGATCAATCAAACCTAATGATTGAATGCACAATGACATTTTAAATGACACAAACCTATTTCACATGCACATGGGCACACACACACAGATGAATAAGATAAGTGATGGAGTGTGAGCAATTGAAGGTTATGGGTTATTTAAATGAACTACCACACATAGTAGTGCATGTGTGTGTTTACACTAACATGCACTTGCACTTAATTACAACGTAAAGAAAACCTGCTTGTCTAACCACCAGCGAATGCACAGTCATGCATGACAAAGTGCCACTTCCAGCAGCTGTAGTAAAGGAAGCGGAAACATCAGTGGTACACACACATCATTTCAACAGGTGCATTCACACATATGTAGTCGTTGTTGCAGAACTAATACATTTTTAATAAGAGCAGTGTTTAGATTAAGACAGAGCTGTTTTACCTTATTGCTATTTACTAACAGACCACCCATCCCAGCCTTCTATACAAGCCTGGAATTTTTTTTCTAGTCACCTTTATATCTTGCCACTCCTTCCCTTCCATTTCTTACTCTTCCTTCTGTCTCTGAGCTGTGATGGCTGCAGATCTCCTGGTGACAGCCAGCATCGCTGCTGCTGCTGCAGCCTTCTTCTCAGTGCTTGGGTTGAAACCAAACAAGTGAAACAGCAGCCGCTGGGTATGACACAATGATCTTTAGTTAGAATAAGGCCTTTAATGGAAGAATTTAAGTTGTTTTTTAATCCCACAAAGGGGGGTTCTCAGTGTAAGTATTTTGCAACCCAAGTATGTGGTTGCAACTTACAGGCTGCCACGCAGGAGGTACCATCAAGTATGTGGTTCCTGGGGCTCGAACCCAGGACTCCCTGCATGTAAGGCAGATGGGTGGGGCAAGTGTAATAACTGCCACACATTGGAACCACTATAACAACAATTTATATATATTATTGTATAATATATATAATATATAGTATATTAAAATATATTATAATATATATATAAATATATATTATAAATGTAATCATATATATATTATGTAGTAGTAATTTCAATTTTCTGAAAGCAATTGGATCTTATGTTTGGAATATGGTGCCACTTTTTGAAAGTACATTAGCATAATTAGATTACTAGATATCAGTTTGCCCTTTAAGTTGGCCTTTTGATGGATGAATTACCGTAATCGTCTCATTGGATCATGAGGGATTGGCCCTGATATGGTTATTGCTCTAATAGGACATTTCATGGAGGGATTTAAGAAATCTAGTTGTGCCATATAAATAAAGGTCTGTAAATGCAGTTTTAACATCTATTGCTGCATTGTTGATAATGTTATTCATTTTACACTGCCTGGCATAGACATCTGCTGCATATAATAACCCAAAAATAAAGGCAATTTTACCTAAAACACAAGGGAAAAAAATTATATAGTTTTTTCTCAAAATGGAGGTTAGTAATATTCAACTGGACAGGTGAGATTAGAATTATTAAATATGAGGCAACTAAAAGCTCCACAGCAGAGAGAAAAATGCTGACACCTTCTATATTCAGTTCTTAATGCTCACCAGAATGTTTTTCTGATGAGTCCTTTTACTGCCGCTACTTTGACCTGCCAAGGCAGTAAAAGTCCAGTGTGGCTCTGTGAAAATCCCACAGTATACAATGGCAGCACCACTAAATGTGAGCATGTTTGTGTGTAATATCTATCTGTCTATCTATATCTATCTATATATACACACACACACAGAGTATATGTCTGCATGTCTGCATGTCTGCATGTCTGCATGCAGACATGCATGCAGACATTCGTAAATATTTCAGTTGCCCTTAAAAAGCATCACTGAGGTAGACTGTCAGGGGTCATGTGCACTAGCAGCAACATCATCATCCTCATCATCACGCCGTAGTGTGGAGAGGGAGCTTCAGCTCCAGGCGGAGGGGCGGGGACGGGATGCAGTCAGTCGGTGGAGCGCTCACTCACTCATTGACAACCACAACAGTGAAGCCTCCCCACACACAGACACACGCATTCTCGGCGCCAGAGAAGATGGTCGCGGTGCGGGCATCTCCCAGTTCGTCTCCTGCAGCGGAGTGGATCTGCTGTCTGGATAAAAGGTGGGTGAATCCACGCCAGCACATCCGCGTCTCCTCCATCCAGCAGGCGGTCGTGATTTTCCTCTGCTTCCTTTCATTCATCCGCGTCAGCGTGAACGCTCGCAGCCGACTCTCGCCGCGTGTGCAATTCTCGCCCGATCC